TGGTTGGTAGTGAAACAAATGATAGTGATGATATGAGTTTTCATTATGATAGTGCTTTATAGTTTCCTTTTAAGACTCAGATGAAGGTAGTGGCAATGATGGTATGGTGGAAGAGGATATTAGATATCATTGGGTTATGCTAATGATGCAGAGGGTACTAACAAAAAACATAAAAGAAAATGGGATTTTAATGAGGGTGAATGGGAATATCATAGTGAGGAGTTGGAGAGTGGGTGTGAAACTGGTGATGAAAGTTATTGTGCAAGATGTCTTCTCTAACTATTATTTCATGGCTCTCTATATAAGGAGATAAAGACTTGGAGAAACAAACAACAATGCACCTTGACAAAAAAAGAGAAGTTACTCTGTAAAAACAAAGAGCACGAGTTAACTTAGAACTTCTTACCAATTGTACATTCTTAGGAGTTCTTAAGTCTTAGAGTTTTTGGTGTTGTATTGTGTTTACACCTCTGATTGTATATCAAGTGTAAGTATCAAACAATCACTATCGTTTATCTTCTATATATATTGTAGGAAGTCTCTTGCTTGTGTGCTTGAGCATTTGTAAGTCTCTTTCTTATGTGCTTAAGCATTGAAGTCTCTTGCATGTGTGCTTGAGAAATTAGAAGTTTATTTCTTGTGTGCTTGAGAATTGAAGTCCCTTACTTGTATGCTTGGGCCTTGGAAGTCTCTTGCTTGTGTGCTTGAGAAATTTGTAATCAGATTCGGTTATAGTGAAAATCTCTTGGATGTACAAGGGGACTGGATTTCTCATGATTTGTAGGAGGAACCATGATAATTGATTGTGTATTTTCTTGATCTCTTCTTTATTTTTGATCAACCTTATTTTTTTTCTACCATCATCAAACTCTGACTTATATTTTATCTCTGTGATCAAAATTTTATTAGAGATTTGCAAGAGAAAAGGGAGAAAAATTAACAAAATCCAACCCTTCTTCTTGTGTTTTTTCTCACCTTCAATTGGTATCAGAGTTTGGTTTATGCATCAACACTTAACAATAGTATAAAAAATATCCTGAGAGAAAAACTACATGGTTGATTCTGATTCTGAAACCTCTGGTCCTGATCATTGTGTTATGCCCTTTGATTATAGCGCCTCAGAAAATAATACCTATATGTCTAAACCTCCAACATTCAGTTGAAATTTTATTGAGTTTGAATGGTGGAAAGCAAAATGTATACTCATATCATAGGTCTTGATGATGATTTATGGGATTTTGTTGAAGATGGAATTGACTTTGAAGTTTATGGAGTAGGTATGGTGGCTGATAGAAAGAGTCTCACACTTTCTCAAAAAAAAGCTTTACAAAAAGCATCATAGAGTAAGAGGAATGTCGGTTGATGCTCTACCTGATTCTGAGTATCTTAAGATTCTCAACAAAGTCTACTGCCAAAACCATATTTGAATCTCTTCGTGCTTCCTATGAAGGGAATCAACAAGTGAAAAAGGCTAAGACAAACTTTATGGTCAAACAGTATGAACTGTTCAAAATGAAGGAGGATGAAGACATTCAAACCATTTTCTCAAGGTTTCAAGTTCTCGTGGCTGGACTTCAAGTTATGAACAACAGCCACACAACAACAGATAGTGTTAATAATATTCTTAGGAGTCTTCATGTCAAATATAGACCTAAGGTTACTACCATACAAGAACCTAGAGACTTAAACAAGATAGGTCTGAAGAGTTTACTCAGTAACCTCCAGAGCCATGAGACGGAGCTTATTGGAAATGAACCAGCAAAGAAGTCAAAGTCTCTTGGTTTGAAATCTGTTGATAAATCTGCTAAATATTCCAAAGTATGGGAACCTGAAGAAGCTGCTTTTGTAGTAGGTTTTGAAGATGGAACATATGATAAGGAGATGACATTTCTTATAAAGAATTTCATTATTTTACAAAGAAGGACAAAATATTCTCTAACATAAGCATTGGCTTTAGAGGAACTAGTACCAGAGATAAGAAGGATGATCAGAAGGGGTGCTTCAATAGCAAGAAGCCTAATCACTTCATTGTTGACTATCCATAATTATAGAAGGACAAAGCAAAGAAAGAAAGCTATCAGAAGCACAACTTCAGAAGCTAGGACAAGAAGAATCTCATGGAAACATGGGATGAACTTGGAGATGAAGAAGATTCTGACAAAAATGAAGAAAAAGCCAATCTAGCTCTGATGGCTCATACATCCTCTGATGCAGAACCTGACTCAAATTATGGCTCTAAATCTGATGAATGCAATGTGGTATTTTCTAATTTATCTCATTAAGATTTAATTATACTTGTTAAAGATCTTATGGGTTGTTTTCAAGTTAAAGTCATACACATGAAAATTATGAAAAAGTGTTATGATCTATTGAAAGATGAATTAGATTTTTATAAAAATAAAATTGTTGAAACAAAAAGATATCATACCATTTAAATTAATGACATGTCTGACAAACCCCTTAATAAGTATGAAATGGGACTTCAGGAGTTTGTCATTTCTGGATTTAACAGGGCAAAAATAGCTTCTATGATTTACAATGTTGATAGGAGAAGAGGATAAGGTCTTGGCTATTCTAGAAAATCATTTGATCCAAGGTTTGGAACATGGAGCAAACCAGTAGAACCTTCTTCTCCAAGATCTGATCAGAAAGGGCTTTATTCTTACTTTGTATTTGCTGATGGCAAGGTAGATATTCTAAATCAATCAGAATCAAAGGTTGTTGAATCAAAAGTTCTAAAGAAATAAGAACCAGAGGCCTTAAAGTATAAGGTTTTGAAGAAACTAGAGATAATGATTCAAAAGTCTAAAGTTATGATAAGATTAGAACCTGAGACATTAGAATCTAAGGTTCTGAGAGGTTTAGAACCAAGGGATAAAAGTCATTCAAGACACAAAAAGTTTAAATAAAAAATGTTGAAATATTTCAAGACTTACTACATTAAATCTAAGGTACAATGTTAGAAAAGACCTTTCAGAACTAACCCTAGAGGATCCATCAAATTATCAGTACCCAAATCTGAAAATATTTCTGCAGCAGATATGAGAAACAAAGCAGGAGTCATGATTCCTCAAAAATGGATGCTTACAACATATGACAAAAGAAAAACATATGTTCCAAAACCTAACTCAGAAAGAGAAAGGAAGTGTGGAATTTTGAAGAAACAAGAAAATATGGATGGCTTCTACTGGTATTATTGAAGATGGATGACTCAAAATTGATGCTTCAGATGTTATCCATACTCTAAAGATCATCCAGAAAGAGGAGCCCATAATGACTCTCTATTGTTGTGTGAAATCAGGTACCTAGACCCTAATCAAAAGAACATCGTTGGAACAAAATGGGTAAAGAGAAAACAACTCAATAGTCTGTCAAAAGTTGTGCAAAGGTATGTCAATTCCTTGTTTTTGCTTAACAGTTTCTAAACCTAATATCAGTTTGAAGACTATCAGATTTATGATACGTAGTACTTTAATGTTGTTTATATCTTTGTGATAAATAATCATGTCCATTATTTGAGAATCAAGCACTTAAAAGAATTGAGTTTATCTAAACATTTGTTTAGTAATAAGTGCTTGTTTCTGAATATAGGCTTAGAGTCTGATGATGATCAGAAGCTCTAAATCATCCTTAGATGAATAATAGACTCTGGAGAATCTCAGTATATCATGTTTAGATTTTGATTAGTCGCTTGTGATCGTACATAAGTGGAGAAATTGTTAAAATCTTTCTTCTGACACTTGTCCACTTATGTGTCTCAAATCTTAAAGGTCCTCTAACACGTGTTTTTTAACTATTGAGTAGAAATCTTCAGATAAGGATGAGGTGTCTTGAATACTATGCTTCCCACCTACTTAGTCATTAATTTTAATATAAATCAAAAAATTGGTTTTCAATCAAAACACTTTATTGATCAGTATTCCACACACTCTCTCGCTTCGCAACCTACACTTTCATTTTCTAAACCTTCTCCAAAATACCCTTTTTCAAAATACATGTTTAGAAACTCTAAATCCATTTGAAATTGCATCAACATCTTCTTCTCATCAATATGATATAATAGTTGAATTTTGGAAAACCTTCCATGTCAAATCCAAAACCATGAAGTTTAGTCTTGAGGAATTAAAGCCAGTCATTGAGAAGCTTGTTGATTTTGAATCTTTCAAGGTTAATGGGTATCATCTGCAACATTTCTTTGAATTTCAATGGTTGCTGAACTACTTTGATATACTGAATGAACCAAACTTTCCCTACTTGGTCATAGATTTCTGGGTAAGACCCGAGGCCTATGATGAAGATGCAGGTGCTATTAAAGAATCTCATAAGATTGCTGATAATGAAAACCTCAAAGGAAAATCTAAGGCTCAAATGGGTTTGCCTGAGTTCAAAGAGGTGGAAATCAGATCTACATTAATGGAAATCGAGGTGGCCATTACTATGAATCACATTTCCAAACTTCTGGGCATGTATAAAATTGGTAGGTGTGCTCTGAACAAGAAATACAATAGTTCTGAATCCAGTATAATCAAGGAAAATATATTTTTTAGCTATGAGGATCTTAGTAAAGTAAAGAATCTAAAGAATGAGTTCAGAGTTCTATTCAAAATTTTGATTGGGTGTTTGATTCTAATAGAAGGAATTATTGATCAAATTTATTTGGACCACAAACACTTTATCTGGTTCCTAGTTAACCGTGAGAATATCAACCTTCTAGCATACATATTTAACCACTTATGTGATGCCATAGAGAAACCAACAGAAATCATAAGAAAAGTATTCCTCATGCAAGACTTCTTTCTGAATTGTTTCATCAGAGTAGGTTGATTGAAGCTTTGATGGATTGTGGACCTATAGAAGATATGGAACAATCATATGGGAGTGTTCCCTTTGGTGCTATACTGGGGAACATGAAGTAATCTTGAAGAAAGAAGTGGTACAACCTGCAAATCCCTTAAGGGTCAGAAATATCAAAACTGCCATCATTAGTTTATAAAAAGGCTATGGAAGATTGTAGTGTTATTCTGACTATGGATGATATTCCGGAAGCCTCTAAAGGAAGTTTTTACATGCTTAAAAGAAGAAGGAGGAAATATGTGCCTATTTCTGAGACAAAGGTTCAGAATCCACTAAACAAGAAGTTTTCTCTCCAAAAGGGTGTTCAAAAGGAGGTTCAAGAAGTGGCCTCCACAACTGTCTTGATGCCTACCAAGACAAGGAATGAAGCCACTCTTTAGAAGATAACCTCTTTTGTTTTAGCCGAGAAGAAGAAAAAACTAAGGAAAATGGTCATACTATCAGAAAATGAAGAGGAAGATGATGAATAACCTCTAAAAGGGAGGTCCAAGTCTGTTGATAAATATATTCAGAATCTCCTTGAATAATTTATTCAAAAGGGAGCTAGTCTAATAGCATAAGCCTTGCCGAGCCAGGCTAGGAAAAGGCCTTTCATTTCTGATGCTCTTCAAAAGAAAGTGGAAGGGAAAACTGTAGTAGAAGTTGTGTTGAAGGATGTTGAGGGAATTTTAGGTGCTAGAGTTGTTCTCGTGTCAGAAAAAGTTGCTTCTCATGCCCTTGAAACCATTATGGAAGAAGAACATGTTGTACCAGAAGTTGCAAAAGCTAATGACACAAGTATACCTATGAACCTCGTGTCTGATAATGTCTTAGATTCTTCGAATTCACCTCTAATGAGAAAGTCTCCAACACCCACCCCACCTCAATCACCTACAAATTCACCAGATAACACACCCTCACCCAAACATGATCAAAACCTACATATGGATTCTATCATACCTTCTCCTAGACCATCCTCAAAATTAGAATACTTTTCTTTGGACTCTCAAAATGCTTCCAAAGCATCTATCTTGGAGGAACTGTCAAGTCACCTAGTTGGTGAGCTACCTAATGAGCAAAAACATCTGGCATGTATTTCTAATTCTAAATACCCAAAACCCTTGAACATTATGCTTGAATCACCAATAGAGGTATCTAGCTCTAAATCAAGCTCAAGCTCAAGCTCACACTCTGAATTTGATGCTTTTGAATTTATACCTCTAGTGGTTAAACATCTTTAAGTTGTTCCCCCAGAAACCTCAACCCTGTGGAACTTTGTTTTGCAGGCAATATGTTTTCTTTTGATGATGACATCTGCAAAGTAAAATACTAAGAAGACTTCATCATGATAAGAGTACAACAAAGGATAAGTCAAAGAGCACTTAAGAGGTTAAAGATGCAAACCATAAATGTAAAGGTTTTCTCAACTTGACTATTCAAAGAAAAAGGAAAACCAAAATAAACATCTAAAGCTTCAGGAGAACCCAAAGAGTGTTAACACATAGGAAAATATCTGACAAAAAGCTTGTAGAAGGAGTTAGACTCATGATTTAGTAAGTGAGTGACCTTTTGTAAAAGCAAAGAGCTTTTTCGTAAAAGTATATGGGTATAAGCACACACACACTAAAACCTTTTTTTAAAATATCTTAACAAAAAGAAAATATTTTTAAAAGTGTCTTTTAGTTGTGCCAGACGACTTAAGAGCAGTGGAAATAGCTAAAGGGAAATATTTGAATAATCTAATTGATTAGACCTTTATGCTAATCGATTAGAACATGTCAAACATAGCACCGAGTTATTTAGACAACACCTTAATTATGTACAACAGTAGCAATAACCTCTTTTCTTTTAAAACAACAACAATGATTATAATTTTTAAGATCTAACCGATTAGAACAAAAATCTAATTAATTAGCCAACAGTCAAATCCATTAAATGAGATTTCTGTTTTTGGCATTCTTCTTGCCTATAAATAGAGGCCTAATTTCTGGTTTCAAATCATATGGGACTTGATTTGTGTATTGACACTCACACTCTCTCTCTACATTTTATTTTTAACTTTTCTCACTAGTTTTTATAGCCAAATGCTTTTGTGAGGACAATTATTTTTGTGAGTCAGATGTTCATTGTAATTATGGAAAGGTAGAATTGTATAAGCTTTTCAAGGAACGTTGTTTATACGCCTTGGATGAATAATTTCCATTTCGGGATCTTATATGTGGTTCAAAGCTAAATCTATTAAAAGCATATTGTTGTACCCCAAAATTTTCCCTCCCATTTTCTGCAAGACGCCTTCTCATGCTCTTAGGGTCTTCAATTGCTCAAGGTTGCTCAAGAATTGATTAGACAAAATTCTCCTCCTAAGCAGTTGACCTACAACTAGGGTTTTGCTTTTCTCAAGGAATATTTGACTTCTGATGCCTCAAGTGGATTTCATGGTTCCCCATATGTCTCCAAGAATGCTCATGACAAATTTCAAGCCTTGCATCACAAGTTTGATCAGTCAAATGCTCAGATGGTTGAAAATCGACTATATTGGACAAAAAGTCAACTGTGGTCAACATACAGTCAAACCTTAAGATTTTTGGTTAGCATCAAGATTTTGAAGTCACATTCATCATTTGATCAAGGTTTGATCACGATTCATCAAGAAAACTCTCCATCAAAAGTAAAAAGTTACTAAATTAAGGTTTTCTTAAGGAGAAGTCAACTGAACTTTGACCAAGCACAACTTCCACATGCTTCATTAGATTTTCCTCAGCTAAAGCTCATATTGAAGAAAATTCAATTCTCTACAACTTTGCCTCTCTAAGCTCAACTCCAAAAAATGCTTCTTTTGAGAGATATGGGCCAAAACATTATAGGTCATTTCAAAAGTCAACAAAAAGACACTTTTTGTCAAGGCAACTTACATCAAGATAAAGCTTTCAAATGCAAAAATGATCAACATAGAGATTGTAGAGGACATCTTGAGCTTTCTAAAAAGTCCAAGATCACCTTCATATGATAAATATTTAGAGAGTTATGATTGATGCTAGTTGAGTAATTTTGAGAAAATGCATGAAACCTAAATTGAGAAAACATGGAATTTTGGGATAGTGGGCTGATCTTTCAAGGTCCATGCGTGTTATAGGCCCCAATATGAATCTCAGAACTCATTCATACACCTCTTTGTTTTTTATTATATTTATTTTTTATTTTATTTATTTAAATTCAAAATTAAATAAGATAAAATCAAAGGCTTTTCTTACAAAGGTCCAAGGCCAACCTTTTGACCTAATTTCATCATTATATATTCCATACAAATTAGACAAGAATGACATGAAAAACCCTTACAAAACACCATTCTGAAATCTCAAAAATTCTCAAAAATTAGGGCAAATCAAGAACCCTAGTTGTTGCCACCTTCAAAGCAAACCAACCTTTCCATTCACTTCCAAAAGCACCATAAGGTAAGGTTGGATCATTTGTGATGATCCAAAGAGCATGAAACGAGCATACATGTCATGCCAATTTTCCATTCTTGTATGAATTTCTATTTCTATTTTCATCGTGTTTTAACGCATACTAACTCCACTAAAATGCTTCTGAGATGCCAGCATGCAGCAAAAACCCATCGTGTAAGCGGCCATGATGGTTGAATCGTGAATGTCCATGCTTACACCTTTTCATGTTATTTTCATCATATCTCTTTCTACAGTGTGTTTCAGCCGAAACTAATGGCGCCATTAAAATCGCAAGGCCCAAATTAGGGGGGTAGGGTCCTTTGGAGCCTTTAATGTTTGCTATTTTATAGGGTTGAAAAACGTACTCACCGGAGAAGACGACCGGAGCTAGGGCTTCGGCGCCTCTCTGGTTCATGCCATAATGTTTGTTTTATGTTTAATTAGTTTTGTTTATGATACCGGATGTACAACCACCCCAGTGACAAGCGTGTGCATGATAAGGCCTTACTATACGAGGGCGTGGGTTCGATCCCTGCTATGATACGGTGGCAGAACCGACTGTTATAATGGTTTGTGTTTTGTATTCATAAATGTTGCGGTAAGCAAGAGTCGCCACTGACTTTTATTTCATCCAACAAAGGAAAGGAAAAATAACAGAAAAAAACCTTTTTTCGAGATGTTTCTGAGTACGCGGGGTAGATTATAGAAAGGGAAGGTGTTAGCACCCTTTCTATCCGTGGTTTTCTACGGTCTCTTAGGTACTTGCTCATTTTTGAAATTGCCTGTGTGTGTTTTGAAGAGTTTTTATTTAACTTCGTGATAACCCTTGTATCTGTCCTCAAAAGTGTGACAAAGTTATTTTTGAAAACCGTTTTCAAAGTGTTTGTGTAAAATATTTTTTATTGTTTTGAGCAAGTACTTAAGATTTTCTACCTACTCGAAAAAAGACAATTCGTTCTCGTTTCCTTTAGACAGCGCTATCCTACTATTAAGGAGTAGGTAGCTCCATCGTTAGAGTTATAAGGGACATTCGAAGGGACACGTACGGTCACAAAAGAAATGGTTAGGAAACTTAAGTGATTATCCTAAAGTCCTAAAGATCTTTCCGAGGCAACATTCAAAAGGGTCATTTTTTATCTTTTGGGACTAGAGGACGACCACTAAAATTCCCTATGCTTTATGACCGTTTACTGAAGGCAAATGGAGTGGGGCAAACCCTAGGAGTGAGCATGTACAAGTGTGCTTTTTTTCCCCAGTTAATTATCTTTGCACAATTAGGGTTATCTACCTTTTAATCATTGATTTGTCTTTCGCATACAATTCTAATATCCATACATCTAGCAATTTAATAGTTGCGGAATTTAAAAAGTGCGAGAAATTAAAAATCCTAACTATTACAAGGCTTTTGGGCAGATACATAAATATTTGATTGAAAATAAAGATGTGAAAATTAAAATCCTAATTAATCTATTACAAACTTGAATTAGTTACAATAATTTGAATTAAAAGAAAGTAAAGGCGTGCGCGACAAATTAAATACGAGAATAAATTAGAAGCCTAAAAAATCTAATTAATTAAAAAATATTTTTGTGTATTTTTTTATTGAGAAAATAATTTAATTACAAATTAAACCTAATTTTTTAATTAATTTTAATTAAAAAAAAAACAATCAAGTTAATCTAATTAAACTAATTTATTTTCAATTAAATTAATTTAAATAAAAAAACCTAATTCTATATATTTTTGTGATTTTATATTTTAATGAAAAATGATTTTTGTTGTAAAATATGATTAAATAAATAAATAAAACAAAAGAAAAGAATGGAAAAAGAAGTATATGGGCCTGGTGTGCAGTTAATAATCAGAGAGGTGAGGAGTTGAATTTGTTATGCCCATTTTGTTGGCCCAGATCCCGCGCCAGATTCAGTGTAGCTGGCCTTTGGAGGTTCACCATGTGACTACTTGCTTGAGGCGTCAGATCTGGCAGGAGATTGATCCAATGGTGTGGATCTTGGGCGCATGATGGACGCTTGGACTGTGAGGCTTACTGGATCTGTAATTGAACATTGAGAAAAACATAAAAGTACACGCCTGAGATTGAACCCAGGATGTTAGCTTCACACCCTCCTTCCTTAACCATTCGTGTTGGGCTGCTCATTCATACATATAATTAAACAATTAAAATAAAAGGGGAACAAGGTGTTAGTGCTGACGCAACCATGACACGCATGCATGGTGGGGGCCATGGTGACTCAAAGAGCCAATTAGATGTGGAGAGAGGTATTCAACGTTTGGATCCAGCCAATGGGATTGTGAGGAATAACTACGCATGCTTGGACCGTCACCTGTAAAAGTCAAGCCACCGGCCACAATGGCTCCGGTCACCCTCTCCGGCGATACCCAAAAATGAAACCTGCAAAACACGCGAGATCAAGGCATAAAAAAGGTCTTACCCCCCTTAAAATTTCCCCAGCAATCCAATGGTGGTATCCATTTGATCTAAAAGTTCCTGTATCACTAAAACCGAAACTTCCTTCTCTTCAAGCCCTGACAATGGTGATTTACAACCCTGGCCTTGTTTCTTGCATGTAATACATCAGAAAATTCATAAATAATCATAATAACATGAATGTGCATTCAAAAGGGATTGATATCAAGAATTAAGTGAGTTTGAAATCCAAATTCTTACCATAAGATAGGGGATCGGATTGGGGAGGCACAACATGCTTTGGCCTTTGTAAATGGACTGGTTCACCTCCTGGAATCCTCAGAAGGATGATGGAATGGCTGGAGAT